TGCATCCATAACCTAATTAAGACACATACCACAACGGTTCAATTCCATCATACATAAGCAACGAATTAGCTTATTTACACAACATAGCCACTTAATTAATTACAAACACAAGTAAATACGAATCAAATTTAATACATGTTAAAATAAATAAAAAAATGAAATAAAGAAAAGTTAAAAAAAAAAACAAATTACTATTAACTGGAGGTAGTTTGGTCCGTCCAATTAGGCCATAGTTTTTTAACGCAATCATTTAATGCTTTTAGAATATGATCATATTGGATGCCCCAAAAAGAGAATACAAATAAGATGAATGAAAAGAAGCAAGCAACGATGGAAAAAATTTGCACGACCCCATAAAATAACATTGTTGTAAAAGCATGATAAAAAGTTCAGCACAATATACTTATGAACTGCAATGATAAAAAGGCAACGATAATCGTAATAAGAGAACCACTCGATCTAGGAAACAATAAGTATTTTTTCATCAAACCAAGCTGCTCGACTCCTTTCCCTAGCTGATTTTGTATCATCCAATCATAGCGTGTTTACTCCTTCGATAGCGACAAGATTTGACAAAGGATTAGAATTAGTGTTTGGGGGATTTGAGAAATCTTTGAATGCAATTAGACCTTGATCAATCAAATTCGCACCCTTTTCTTGAAGTCCACATAGTTCTCAATACCATGATCATTGATGCCACCGTGGTATACACAAACTTCATTAGGCCTATACCAATGAGGGAATAGCGACTCAGAGTGGTGCGAGTGTCACATGAATTATCTAACCAACAATTACTAGGTGCTCAAAGAGATCAATAAGAGATATGGACAATGACGGTAATATATCATTGAATTGCCCCTGTCGGTATTCCTTAAGAGAGTTTTGATTTGATGGTCTTGGTTGGTTTATGAATTTTTGTGGGTCCGATAGTATGTTTGAGGTTGGCGTTCAAATAGGGCCGGTGTTTGAGCAGTTTAGTAGGGGTTGTACGACTTTTGGTACTTGTGGAAAAGTTAGTGTTTAAGTCTGTCAATCTAGCTATGTTGGTCAAATTGGCATTTGTAGGAATTATGAACTGGGCGGTTAGGTTGGATATGTTATTTTAAGGGATGAATCGACTATTATTCCTCCAAGAATTGTTCCATTTCCCTCATGAGTGAAAGAACGTCCTCCAATTTGATGTACCGTTTGGTCTTTTCTCTAGCTGAAGTTACTCCTCTTGTGTCCAGATTCGAAAAGATCGACTATCCTTTTCGAATTGATGGCACGTTCTATCCGATCTATAGCAAACACTATCTCTATAAAGTTGTTTGACCTATTACTTAGTTGATAGTCATAATATGGGGCCTTAAAAGTGTTGACGACGAGAGTAACCAATTCTCTCTCAATAATGGACGGGCGGATGTGAGAAGCTATTTCTCATTATCGTTAAGCATACTCCCTAACGGACTCCCTCGGGCCTTTTTTCATAGACTATAAGCTAGATCTATGAGGTGTTATCTCTAGATTAAATTTATACTACCTCATGAATACATCCGAGTAAATCATTTCACTTTTTGATCTTTGTTTGGTCTAGGTCAATAAACCAACTAAGAGCCGACCCATCAAGGCTCTCGAAAAAGAAATGGATCGATCGATAGCTTTTCATCATATGCTACCTCAACTATCTTATTTAGATAAATCTTTAGGTGAGTTCTAGGACATTGAATCCTAATGTACTTGACAAGTTCGGGCACTTTAAACTTTTAAGGAATCACCACATTCGGTATTAGACATTTATCTACACTAAGAAGAAGATCACACACATATGCACCTTCTATAACTCTCAAACATTCCTCAATGGCCATGAGCTTCTCGACTTCAAGTTTTGAAGATATCTTTTTCTTGGTCGATTCATCGGTGATGAAATCAATAGTTACAACTATCGATCCTTGAGTAGTTTAAGACAACATGAGAGTAGGGCTTGAAGGTCTAGGAGCAAACTCATACGTGCCCCACGGTGTAGGATAATTGGTATGATTAGCGGTACCAACGAGCTCTAAATGAGGCATACCAAGAGGTGGTGCTGAAGCATCGGCTTGAGTGATCGATGGTGACATGATGGTGAACATTTATGGGAAAGGCAACGACTATCGACTTCTCTTTGGATGATAATTTACGAAGACATGTGATTTTGCTGACTTTGTTCCAACGGAATAATAAGCTTAGCAACCTCTTCCTTGAGCACCTCTACCTCATTCTAGTGATTTCGCTCAAGTAGAGCCTTTTTTTCGTTTTTCATCCTTTTTCTAGCTCTCGCGTGGTGAATACGCTAGGGAAGTGTAATTTTGATATGTCGACCTATGTTTCTATTTAGAAAAAAGATAACAAATACTAGACGTAGGTAATAAAATAAAATAACACTTAAGACTAAATATGGAATAGCCTTCGTGTGGTGATGATAAGAGGATCCAAGCATCGATACTTTCACATTTTTTTAAATTGATTTAAAGATGAAATTGGATTTCATCTATAACCCTTGACATATTCCGATCAAGCTTTGAAACTTCTTTGGTATTTAAACATTGCGAAACTAGATTTAAATACTCTTATCACCCATCCCGAAACATTGTAACCCAATTACTCGATCAAGGTTTCGATACATCGACTTGTTTAGTGATATTTATTAGGTAAGATCCTAGAGTTTAGTTCTAAGTCATTACTTGAATGGGATAGGATCTATCTAAGTCTAAAAAAGGTCCCTTCAAACTCGAAAAATCATAATAGAATTGTTAGGACGGCTAAAGGTGATGATTGGTAAGTGTGAAAAATCATCGGTCACTCACCGTTCATTATTGACTAGCAAGAAGAGTTGAGATTTCATAAGTGTTACCTAGGGCGAAACCCGTCGAGGCACCTCTACTACCTCCCTAAGTCCTAAGGCAAGTGTGTGATAAAAAATAATGATGAGTGTAGTGTGTGCATAGGCATTATTCCATATTCGGTCCCAAAAATAAGAATAAAAATAAAAATAAATAAAGACACAAAATAAAATAAAAATACGAGACAAACAATGGCAAAAGGAATGAATTCAAACAAAGTAGGCAAATTAAAAAAACAATCGACATACGGGCATAAAAATTCATCACATCATCATAAATCAAATTCAAAAATTCCACGCAAAGCCTAATCCCAAGTATCTCTCCAATGGAGTCGCCATTACGTCACATGCGACATGTTGAGGCAAAAATAAGGAAAATGGGCAAAAATAATTAGAGTCGTCACCTAGTATTATGGTTACTAGAAAATCTTATGACTCGATCCGTTCAAAGTTCTAGATAAATGGCTTATTACGTGTAAGGAAGATTAAAAATATTCTACCATGTCCTACCTAAAGCAAGTTCGTATTGCATACAAACCGACTTGATTTTTGATTTTTTATGATGAAAGACTATACTCGTTTTTAAGCATTTTTTCACTAGTTGAGTGATTTAGAACTTGATCGATCGGAGATCTTATCCTCGCTCTATAATGCTTGGCTAGGAAATTATGGATGCAAAGATATTTGGCTAATATGACTTAAACGACGGACATGAAAACAAAACTTAAAAATGAGCAAATACATAAACGAGATAAAAGACACGAGGTGGTAAAATAGGCAAACGGTAGAAATATGCAAATAAACAATTAAGAAAAATAGGCAAAAATCGACAAATTGGCAAAATAGACAAACATGTAAATAGGCAAAATGGGTGAAATTGGCAAATTGACAAATCGATAAATAGAAAAATATGCAAAATAGGCAAAATCGACAAATTGGAGAATAGGCAAAATTGATAAATTAGCAAAATTGACAAACGGACAATTAGGTAAATTGGCAAAATTGACAAATATAAAATGAGGCAAAAATCGATAAATAGGCAAAATCGATAAAAAACAATTAGCAAATAGGCAATTAGGAAAAAATAAAAAAATAGGTAAAATCGATAAATTAGTAAAAATCAGCAATTAGGTAAAATCAATAAATAGGAAAAACTTGGCAAATTGACAAAGTCGGCAATAAGGCAAAATCAACAAATAGGCAAAAATTGACAAATTGGAAAAATCAATAAAAATCGACAATTGGGCAAAAATCGACAAAAATTGACAAGTTAATAAAAATTGGCAAAATCGATAATTGGCAAAAATCAACAAGCATCGACAATTAGGCAAAAATCAATAAAAGTCAACAATTTAGGCAAACATCGATAATTAGGGAAAACATAGGTAAAAATCAATAATTTAGGCAAACATGAGCAAAAATTGACAATTAAGCTAAAATCGACAAAAGGATAAAATTGATAATTAGGCCAAAATCGACAAAAGACAAAGATCGATAATTAGGCTAAAATCAACAAAAATTGGCAATTGGACTAAAATCGATGAAATTAGTTGTTACAACGTACATAATTGATTGTGTTTGATGAAAAATAGGTTCATGAGACAAAATCAAAACTTACTTGACTCGACGTCTTGTTTTTTTAGAAAACTTTCATGCAATTTATTTAACGTTGTTATCGATAAAATAACATTAAAAACATTTTTTAAACCAATGTGTTTTTTTTTAAAGGAACGCACAAAACAACTATAAGCATCAAAACACATTCAAGCAATAACAATCATCCAACCATTACAAATGCAATTACAACCTAATTAAGACATACACCACAATGACTCAATTACATCATACATAAGCAACGAATTAGCTTATTTACATAACATAGCCACTTAATTCATTACAAACACAAGTTAATGCGAATCAAATTTAATACATGTTAAAATAAATAAATAAAATGAAATAAAATAAAGTTAAAAAATAAATTACGTAAACGGGAGGCGATTGGTTTGTCAAATTAGGATCCACTTTGGCTCTTTTCAACCCCGATGGTGATTGACATTCGATCAACCAAGGAGAAAAGATGATTGAGATCAATGGCGATCGGATCCGGAGTGGCCACTAGCCGTAGCGGCATTCGATGACGATGATTGTTGGTTGCGGAGTGGTGGCTACTCGGAGGGGTTATGGGTCAACGAGCTATGGCCGGTGTGCACGTAGGTGTGCGAGGATGAAAGAGGTGTATGGGTCGGGCCCGGCATGGAGGGGGCCCGACGTTTAGTTTTGGGCCTACGAGAAAGAGCTCGGTATGGGGTGGATGGCCCAGTTGCATGCGATCCGGCTCGAAGGAGATGCTATAGTAGCAAGCTACCGTGGGCTAGCTCACGTGCTCCCGGTGGCTCGCTCGGTGGGCGAGAGAGAGGCGATAGGCGTTTGGAGGCTAGCGATAAAGCCTTCGGTTGGCAAGCGAGGGCATATGGGCTAGCCGTTATGGGCATGCGTGTGGGGTCGGGTGTGCTTGCTACGTATCGGCTCTCCTAGTCCGCTGCGAGTTACCTAGTGTGCGGGTGTGCTTAGCCTGCTACAGTCGGAGTTACAAGCGATGAAACACATGAGGTCGGCCTTTAGGTTGGCGTTGATGATGGGTGAGGCCGAGCGGTGTTGATCGCTGGTTAGTAAACCCGGTGGGGGGTGCGCACGGGGTTGGATTATGGTAAAGGCGAGTGGGCATACGAGGGCTAGCCTGTGGAAGGGTCGTGGTTGAGGCGAGTAGACGTGGAGTTATGGCTAAGAGGAGGCTAGCGAGTGGGTATGATAGTTGGAATTTCTTTTTGCGAAAATGGTGAACATTAGCTTTCCTTTTTTTTGTTTTTGAAAAAATAGCTTTTATACCGATTTTTAAGGTTTTTGGCTAAAGTTGGTTTGGTCCTTCATCTCGCTAACTTACTTTATTTTGATCCTTTTCTCCTTTTTTTTAATTACATCCCTTAAATTTTTATTTTTATTTATTTATTTATTTAGGATAAATTTGAGTGCTAACAGAGTCCATATATGATAAAGTAGTCTTTAATGGGGTCAACACTATGGAAGAAAGCATGAAAGCAAATTTGGTATGTAGGAAGGGTAGAAATTTAATTACGGATTTGATATTATTAAAGATGAATGATTTTGATGTGATCATAGGAATGGACTAGTTAGCAAATTATCATGCTTTGTTATACTACTACAATAAGATAGTGTATTTTAGAGATTTAGGAGAAGAAGAATTTTCTTTTTAGGGAAAGGATAATGTATCTCCTTCTAACCTAATGTCCGCCATTAAGGCTAGTAAAATGATGAGAAAGGGTTGTGTAGCCTACTTGGCATATGTGAAAAAAGCTGATGATAATGTGTTAGTTTAGACTAAGTCTTAGTCATTAGGGAGTTTCTTACTCGTATTTCTAAATGAATTACCTAGTTTACCTCTAGACGGAGAAATAGCGTTCGGTATTAAATTGCTTCGGGTACCAAACCTATCTCTATACCTCCATATCGGATGACACCACCCAAATTGAAGGAGTTGAAGGTTCGGCTTCAAGATTTATTAGATAAAGGGTTTATCCGATTGAGCATTTCTCATGGGTTGCTTCATTTTTATTTGTTAGAAAGAAGGATGAGAGTTTAAGGTTACGTATTGATTACCTCGATTGAATAAAATGATGGTGAAGAATAGGTATCCATTACCCGGGATAGATTTTTTTGATCGGTTACAAAGTGCAAGATACTTTTCTAAGATTGATTTGAGATTCGGATACCATCAATCGAGGATTAAGAGGGACGATATTCCTAAAACTACCTTTAGGATGTGGTATGGCCACTATGAATTTTTGGTGAATTCGTTTGGCCTTACCAACACTTTGATAGCTTTTATGGATTTGATGAATAGAGTGTTTCGATGCTTCCTCGATGAGTTTATAATTATGTTTATCCATGATATTCTACTGTATTTTAAGAATGTGAGGGAGTATGAGAATTATCAAAGACAAGGGTTATGGACATTAAAGGATCGAAAGTTATATGCTAAGTTTTTGAGGTGTGAATTCTAGTTGAAAAATATGGCATTATTATGTCCTAATAAGGGATTATGGTTGAACCAAAGAAAGTATATACGAGTAAGCCATTGATCAAGACTTTCTTTAGTGATAGAGATTTGAAGCTTTTTGGGTCCGCTCAAGTATTATGAAAGATTCGTTCAAGATTTCTCAAGGGTTATAGCACCTCGACTAAGCTAAAATAGAAAAATATGAGTTTCGGTGGTCGGATAAGTGTGAAGAGAGCTTTCAAAAGCTAAAGATGTATTTGATCATGATACTAGTTCTTACCCTACTTTTAAGTACTCGGTGAATTTTTTATGTTTTATGATGCCTTGAGAGTGGCGTTAGGATGTGTGTTGATACGGCATGATAGGGTGGTAGCTTATGCTTCAAGATAGTTGAAGAAACATGAATAAAACTACCCTATACACGACTTGAAATTGGCAACAATGGTGCTTGCCCTAAAGATTTAAAGATATTATTTATATGGAGAAACTTATGAGATCTATATAAATTATAAGAGTCCGAAGTACATAATTGATCGAAATATCCGAACTTGAGGTAGAAAAAATGGATCAAATTACTAAAGGACTATGATTGTACTATTTTGTACCATTCGAGTAAGGCTAATATGGTGGCCAATGCCTTGAGTAGGAAGTCTTCTACAAGCTTAGCTCATTTATCAAAGGAAAAATAGTCATTAGCATCAAAAGTTAATAGATTATTAGATTCGGAGTGGTATTTGGAGTTAATGAATCAAATGTTACGTTAGCCTATATGAAGATTAGGCTAATTTTATAGATTAGATTCGAGAGGCTCAAGTGAATAATGAGGAGATCTAAGAGATTTACACTAAGCTACAAGAAGGAAAGAGTTTGGGTCTTAGAATTGATAATAGAGACACTTTGTGCTTTCATTAAAGGTTGTGCATGTCGAAGAATTCAAAACTAAAAGAATAGATCTTGATAAGGCTCATAATATGGCCTATTCCATACATCGTAGTTATGTTAAGATGTATAAGAACCTTCATGAGAATTATTGATGGATTGGAATGAAAAAAGATATCATGGAGTTTGTTTTATGATGTTTGACATGTTAATAAATAAAGTATGAGCACTAGAGCTAGCGGGAATGTTGTAAGAGTTGCCACTACTAGAGTGGAAGTGGGAGAGAGTGACAATGGACTTTGTAATGGGTTTGCTGCAAACCCAAGGAAGTTATGGTTTAATTTGGGTGATTATGGAAAGGTTAACTAAGTCTCGCTCATTTTCTACTTATAAAGATTACCTATGCGTATGCTCAATATGCCCAGCTATACATTGATCGGATAATGTCCTTACATGGTATTTCGATCTCTATCATTTCAAATCAAGGTACTCGGTTTACATCCTAATTTTAGAGGAAGTTATAAGAGGCATTTGGTACGAGGTTGGACTTCGGTACAACATTTCATCCTCAAATAGATGGTCGGTCGAAAGGATGATTCGGACCTTAGAGGATATGCTTAGGACATGCGTGATGGATCTAGTAGGCGAGTTGGGATCATCACTTGCCATTGATTGAGTTCTCGTATAACAATAATTATCACTCTAGTATCGGTATGGCATTGTAGAAAGCATTGTATGGCCAAAAGTGCATATCACCAATATGTTAGGCAAAAGTTAGAGATAAAAAACCTTTAGGGCCGGAATTGATTCGACTCACTATAAAAAAGGTGAAGTTAATTCAAAAATGCCTTAAGACTATACATAGTAGATAGAAAAATTATGCGGATCCTAAGAGAAGACATGTGGAGTTTTAGAATGGTAACTTTGTGTTTTATAAAGTTTTTCTTATGAAAGGAGTAATGCGAGTTTGGCAAGAAAAGAAAAATGAGCTCGTGATACATGTGATCGTTTGAGATTGTGGGTCAAATTGGAGCAATAGCTTATGAGTTGGCATTGTCGCCATAATTCTCCGAGTGTATATCTAATGTTTCATATTTCCATGCTAAGGAAATATGCATGGAAATATGTACCCGACCCATTCCATATCTTGAAATCGCAAATGATGGAATTAAGTCCCGATTTATATATATAGAGCAACGAGATCTTAGTAGTAAATTGTCAAATTAAGAAATTATGAAATAAAAAGATTGAGTCCATCAAGGTCATTTGGACGAATCATGCAACCAAAAAAGCCACTTGGGAGGTTGATGAGGAAATAAAAAGAAAGTATTCTCATTTGTTCACCTATTAAGGTTCGAGTAAACTCAAAATTTGAGGATGAATTTTCTTAAAGGGGTAAAAATATAATAATCCAAAAAAAATGAGGAGAAGTCTGGTATAAAAGGAGTAGTAATTGCCCCTCATTTTCAAAAATTTCTCTTATTCTCCTTTCTCCCTTTTCATGCATTTTTCTCTCAAATTTCTCCTAAATTTCCTTCTTTAATTCCTAAGCTAATTAATTATTAAATTAGCTTAGGAGAATCATAAATTAGAAGATTTAAGTGGAGTTTAGCTAATGTGAAGCTTGAAAAGTTTGGAGAGCTAGGATTGATTTAAGATTTGAAGAGTAAAGTGTGAAGGTGAGACTTATGATCAATTAATATTTGAATTGAGATGTTTATGTGTGGTTAATGATGATATTGAAATGCGATTACTTTGGGCTTGTTAAATGCTTGAGGAATTGACTAGAATAAAGTTAGGGCTTTGAGACCCATTTGGAAAAAAGTGATTCTAAGTGATTATAATAACTTGAATGATGTTTAAATATTTTAGATTTCTTGAAATGCAATTCCTTATGTTTGATCCATCATTTGTATTGTGAGTAAATATTATATAGCACACTATGTTTTAAATTTCTTGAATTATGTATATTATGCATCATTGATTTAAGAATGATTTAGAAGCATTTCACTAGAACTTAGATGGGAATGGACCTCATAAATTTTGAAATGATTTGATATAAATTGAAAAAAAATGATTTGAATATGTGTTTAAACAAACGTATTATTAGAATTGGTATATGTTTTCGGATTTTAATATGGATGTGTTATAACCATTATTTTGAACATACGTATAATTTCTAAAAATGCATACATGGTATTTAAAATACCGATTTAAAAAATATATAAGTATGTTTGGTTTTTGAAAATATTTTCGAGACCATAGGGAACCTAACTACTAGGGGTAGCCTTTAAGTTCAATGATGTGATGCTCTAGTTAGTAAAAGAGGTAGATTGCTAGCTCGTATATCAACAAACATGGAAAAATCTAGTCTTGAAGGGCGTGATCTTTGGATGTTCACATTCAATGATACGTTATTACCCTATGGGTGTATAAAAACCTATATATATGAGATTTCCTATGAATACTATATATGTATGATAAATGTTTTGATGATTTGATACGAAATGGTTTTGAACCAATTGATTTGATATGTACGATGTGTTTTATAACATGCATGTGTTTTGAAGAAATAAGCATT